GGCTTCACGATTGATTCAGGTTTGTCAATGAAACAACACATTAAGAAGCTCTCAGCCGAATGCATGTTTCAAATCAGGAAAATCAATCAAATTCGACGATCCCTAGATGCAGACGTTGGTTCATGCATTTGTGCACTCACGCGTCGACTATTGCAATAGTTTGTTTTATGACTTACCTGATCTATCCATGGCTGTACTTCAATCAATACAAAATCGAGCCGCAAAAGTTGTTGTTGGAGCTCTAAAATACGATCATGTGTCTCCAATACTGAAGGAACTTCATTGGCTAACCGTCGAAAAAAGAGTGTTGTTCAAAATTTCAACACTTGTCTACAGGTCTATCAACGGTCTAGCTCCATCTTATTTGTCTGACAGGTTCAAAAAGAGATCTTCAAAAGCATCTGGAACACACTTGAGATCCGATGTTTCAAACCTGCTGTTGATCCCAACAACGAGTCTCCGTATAGGCTCTCGTAACATTGCTGTTTCTGGACCAACTGTTTGGAACAACCTGCCTGCTGCTCTCAGAAATCCGGACCTAAACCTACGTGACTTCAAGAAGAAACTGAAAACTCATTTATTTTCATTGTGATGCATTATTGATCGATTCTTTCTGTTTAGTCAACATGTTCTAAATATTATTTCGTATTTTCGTTTTATTGAATCGATTACTTTTCTGTTTATGACCAAATTTTAATCTTATTTCTATGCGATGTATTATGATTTCTCGTTTGTTATTTCAATTATGTTGTTAAGTTCAGTTTTTGTTAGATAGCGCTTTTGAGATTCCTTTAATTAGCGCTTCATAAATGTTTCAATAATAATAATAATAATAATATATATATATATAATTTGGTATGAGGTTCTCAGATAAACATGTACGGTTGAAGATTACACCCCATTTTGCAGTTAGAAGTTTTTTAAATAAAATTTCAACAACACGAAGCTGTTTTGTTTCAACTTTATTAAACTGTGAAGTTTGGCTGACGGCCGTTTCGGCTAATGCCATCGTCGGAGCCTAGATTGTAAAACCACATGAGGAGTTAATAATATAAATTATAAGAAATAGTAAATAGAATATTAGATATTAAAATGAATAAATAAATGAATAACAACCAATATTTTAAAATTAACTCATTATATTGTTGAAAATAAAATAAACAAATAAATTTAAAAGAAAATATATATATATATATGTCATTTATTCTAGACCCTGTTGAGGAATGCTTGATCAATTTAATATTATTTCGCTTTGTCGGATTATAAATCTGACAATCTGACATTTTTAAGACGAATAGAAATAATTTTATTTTATTAACCAAACAGACGTAACAATCTCGTACTAACGTAAAAAGAGAAGAGGAAAAGTGAAGCAAAGAAGTAGTAGTAATAATAATAAATTAAATTCAAACATATTTATTTAAATTAATAATAAAACTAATTAATAATTAAAAATATTTATAATAACTATTTACATTTAATCCCCTACAATACTCTCCAGCAAGAGAAATGTTTTCTTTTTGATTTTTTCACTCTTCTTTGAAGATGTGGCTGTTGGTACCGATATGGCTGGCGTTGATCTTGTTTCTCGTGATAATGTTGCTGTTGTCGCTGATAATGTTGTTGATGGTTCTTCTGTGATTGATATTTATTTATTCTTTGTGATGTTGATGGTGTTGTTAGTGATGGTGTTGTTGTTTGTGATTTTGTTGTTGGCGTTGTTGCTGATAATGTGGTTGACGTATTGTTTGTTGGTTCGAATCTTGTTCTGATCTCTCACGCAAAGTTCTGTCCAGCTTCAAGCGATTTCTAGAATGAAATGAATGTGAGGCCAATGAACTATGCTCTGCTTTTCTCTTTTTGTGATGATCTTGCTGCTGCTCTTGTGAACAGGAGAAAGAAGAGA